AAAAGGCCCTGAAAATCCAAAAATAAAAAAAAAAAAAAAAAAAAAAAAAAAAAAAAAAAAAAAAAAAAAACTTTTGTCACCCATTACATAAATCTTCAGAAGGGACAAGAAAAAGATGGCAGATCATAATCTTTTACTTCTGATGTCATTACCTAGGAAGTAGCTGACAAATCATTTGCCAATGTATTAAGTCTTAGTTGTTTTACAATGAAATATGAAGAAAGTCTGCGAGTGTCATCATGTCATCAATCATTGGATATCAGATGGTCTTTCATGTGACAATGATACCCTCTTTTTTAAGTGACACAGGACCTAAACTTAAGAGGGGAAGGGGCAATCATTTTAATGGGGAACTCTTTAAAATGCTACACTGAAAATAAAAAAACCCTATCACATGTCCAAAATGAACAGGTACTACACTGTCCTCAGGAATGTAAAAAATGATCCCCACACCTTTCTAGCCAAGTAAACAAGGCTATCCTCTACGTCATATAGGTAATTAAATAAAAACAAATACGCAATTAAAGAACACACCTCCTACGACAGCATTCTCACACCTGTAATGACTCAAATAAAATGTGTTTTAAACTCAATAAAAACATCTTTATCTCAATAATCATTTTCAACCAGGAACATAACCTAAAATTAGAAGTCTAACTACAATATACCTATAATCAACGTAGGTCAATGTACGGAAGGGTGACTTTCCTCATTAATATTCCCTGACGCTTATATCTATTACTCTTCACACAATGTTAATACCCATTCTTGTCGCCATCAAAATGACCAGTGGTCAACTTTGGAGAGGTCAAACCTACGGCCATGCTGTGGTCCATGTTAATTATGGTCAGACTGGCAGGTGGCATACTGCTACTATACTACCACACTGGCATCTTTATTAATGGAAGAGGATATCATTAAGAGTGATGATGATAGATTTTAAACAGAATGATCTTCCTAAATTAAGCTAAGGTGGTTGTTACAGTGCTGTTAAGGGCATCATTTTGTCTAGGTCCTGCTCCAATGACATCTTCAGTGTAGACGTATCTTTATTATTCAAGAAATGTCTAAATTAATATATGATTAGGGCTTACACTTGGATGTCAGAAAAATGAACTTGTAAACACCCCCACTTCATACTGATATCTCTTCATACAAACATAACCATTGCAAATGCCCAATGATATTTTAGGCCAGTCATCATTATATTTTCTGTAAACCAACATTCTCTCTCTCTCTCTCCCTCTCTCCACTCATCCATATCCAAGAACTACCCAACTCTCACATTACCTAAATGGAGAACAAGATGCACATTACCTACAATACCACATTAATGGAGGTTTTTATGTATGGGGGGGGGAACCAAGCATCCCAATCTAACATGAATATTTACTTCCATTTATTTTGTATCACAATCAAGGACGTAAATCACAGCTTATGAGACCTGTAAAGTTGAAGAAAAGACCAAGTGTTGTGGTTAGGGTAAAACACGTTAGAGATGACCACAACTATCTCACTTTTGATAAATGTTCTGATAACATAAAGCCAGGATCTTTCATCTCTTTTTTAACTTCAAATACATAGATATTTTTTATTGACTTTAAGAGGTTTCTAATGGAGATGTAGAAAATATTAACCTTTTTAATAGTAAACTATATACTTTTCAATCAAATGCTTGAAATAAGGGGCACCCCTTTCCCAGCCTACCCCAGCAGAAATGGAAAATAGAAAATTACGACAATATATGCCAATACAGGAACATCAAATGTAAGACGCCACATTTCTCCCGAATAAATTTCATAACGCTCAATGAAATATTCAAAATTTGTCGGCAAACAGCTGGTTTGCATGTTTGCAAAGTAAATACCAGAGCAATTTAAAAATTCATGAGTGTAAACAAACAAACAAAAACAACTATGAAACTCAATACTTCTAATATGATCACAAGACCAAAATCTTTGTTCTGAATCCATGGATAACATAACTGCTCTTTTTCTTTATCCTCCACCCTGGGTTTAGAGTATTTTTGTGTGCCCTGACAGTGTATATGACATGTGGGAGGTATCACAAGGTGACTACTTGATCCCCAGGGTCATCCCCACCTGTATGTTATATGTTATGTTTTTGTTCCCTCATTTTAGCTGGCCACAATAAGCTGTGTACAGTTAAACAAGAGTTAAACACTAGACAAATGCGCACCATTCTTCAAAGGCATTTACAGGAATTGTTACATGTTTTCAAACTTTCTTTTGTGGATCGCATTACAATATTTACCCTGGCACTACAATAACACAAGAGGTTACCTACACTGCTTTGACGGCTGTGGAATGTGATGTCCCTTGCTTCGAAGTGGGAGGGTAGAATACAGGGCTCTTTCACTCGGAGATGGGAGGCTCTTCTCCTGATGCTGCTCTACCTCTTCCTTGCTGAAATTCTGCAATCTCTGTGAGGCACCAGCGGATGGCGATTCTCGCCCTTTTTGCCCATCGTTCTCTGCCCTGTCTGAATATGTCCTTGTTCGAGGTTTCTGTGGTCTTCGCCTCCGCTGCATTGTGCAGTACACTCCAATATTACTACGAGCTCTAAATGCTGTGTCCTCAACTTTCTCCTCCACATCTTCCTGTATAAAGTCAAGATATGGATTATGCCTGTCTTGAACATATTCCTCAAAACTCGTCGGAGAGTCAGATAAAAATGGTGAACCAGCACATCGCCGCAATGTTTGGTGTGACCCAGGAGAAAGTGGCGATCGAGGATTACTACCACTGTCTGCCATATCTGACGAATAGATGTTCTTTTTAGAGTAAACAGATGGGGAAGGTAGCTTGTGATGAAGGTCGTTAGTATGACTAGATGAAGAAACGTAGCTGTAGACTCCGCTATCAGCTGAGGTATATTGGTCCTGGTCTCTGTAGGAGTCCTGCCGTACTCTGTCTCCCAGCTGGGCAGCAGTAGGGTGGGAATACTGCAAGTGTGCCCCAGCAGCCACTGGACTCAAAGCAGAATTTTCACGGCTGTTTTCACGATGATGTCCCTGTGCTATATGGTCCTTCCACGACCCCGCAGAGTCGTTCCTCTTTCGAGAACTGGCCCGCTGTTTAGTTCCATCAGGTGTAGCAGCCCGTGTGGCCTGTGTGCTTGGAAACAGGAATTTATTAACTGAGATTTCTGGACTATGATTCAGGACTGGCGAGCGGGCCATTTCCTCGGGCTGGCCGTATTCCGCCCAGAGCTGCTCCTCAGTCATGTACTGCGTCCTTTTAAAACTGTCTCTCATCACAGCAGGGGTGTTATAACCCCGAGATTTCTCTGACCCCGACCTAGACATGTTACTATCCCAGCCAAATTCTACAGAGCTATTTCACCTCTCTTTCTCCCACTGGTGTTAATGTCAGCAGGCAATAGGCCGTTGCAAACTCTCACCTGGCATACTATAGTGAAGTCAATGGGAAGGCACTTAGAGGGTTGCCCTTTTTATTATCACTCAGACAAATATTCCAGGATCTTGGTAATCCTCTCAATAATTTTTTTCCAATTTCTTTACTGCTGTATTCTAGGTAACAACTCTTGGCCTAATGAATTTCAACTGATGATTATAAAAGTCTAGCAAAAACTAGGCCTTTCCCTCTTCCTTTTTTCCCCCGACACAGTAGTGAACTTTTCTGTTCTTAATTTCACACAAAAACCAGTAGCTTATTTTTTAGGGGAACCACCTCCAATTAAGGTAAAGATTTATCTCCTCAACATAAATACATGTCAGCCTTGCTACATCTCTTCACTGGCAGATCTTTCAAAACAACCTCACACTGAAGGTAAGCAGGCAGATCCCCAATTATGACTGGCAGAGAAAGAATCACACAGCCTCGCTAAGTTTCTCTAGTGTTGTGGTTCCAATTCTCAGTCTTGTACACTATTAAGCTTCTTTCCTGAATTCCTGTTTATCTTCTTAGATAATAAAATTGGAAATGAGGTATCAATTCCTGATGCATCCAAGAATTTATGCAAGTTTTTCTTGTAGAGCTGCCTTTTCAGTCAATCACCTCAGGGTTTGTAGTGAATGGTCCCAATGAATCAATACAGTATCAAAACAGTGCGGCACTGCCTTATAAATGATCTATAATATATGCATACAAAAAGCCTGCAATATTATATCAGCTCCCTGTGCTGAAATGAGGTTCAATCACCTTTGAAGTATCCCCCTGTCAATCTTTATGTCACAGCAGTGTCAAAACAGTGTCAAACAGTCAGCATGCAAGTGTCAACACAACCGTCACAGTTCAGCTAAAGAGTCCACTCCTTCCGCATACGGTATTAATTCACCCTCTCACAGGGAGATGAGTATTCCAGTCATGCCAGCACGCATACCTGTATTGACAGAAATGGAAAACTGGTCCTTGGAACCTCCTCCTCTCACTGCTATCTGCCTACGACTTCTGTCACACTGCCCCCTTCCCTGCTCGCCCAACTGGACAGGTGTATGGTTGTAGCTTAACTCGTTCTGCAGGTGTTATTCTTGTCAAGTGAACACTCAAAAGGAGGGAACAATACCTGTAGCTTACCAGTGAAGCTGCACTCTACGCTGACACCTCATTCAGTACTACAACCGTGATACAGTTACTGTGATACCTGCTTTCAAACACTGAGGTACTGTTAAATATCCCACAGCATACTGAGTGCAGTTGTACTGGTAAATTATTTCCAAGCTGATAAAAAATGCTCTTCCAATGTTCACAGTGCAATGAACTTATTGCCTAGACATCCACTGATATCCTCTGAATCAAAGGTGGGAAGTAATGTCTCTTACACAGATGGTCAGTTTTATATCTTTACTCCTTTGTCTTCAGCAGCTACAGATGCCCTTATTTAAGTTCTTGGTCATCATCAAGCCAAATACCTGTTGCCTAAAGTTATATCCATTTTCAAAGACATCCTACCATCTGTCACCATAAACAATGTCCATCAGTCGTGTCCACTCCTACACAAATGTCCACCAAATGACCAGTCAAATTCAACCGGGCCACTTTAGTCCAGTGCTTGTGGAGTGTTGTAGTCAGTTACACAGGGGACATATAGGACTATGGCAAACACACATTTGAAAGTAAGATATATATCTGGTTGCCATTAGCATACCTGAGGGCTTGTGACAAAGCATGGACTCCCCCAGTCACTGAAGCATGACGGAGTGAGTAGATATCTATCTGTACCAGTACATGTGTACAGTGCTACCTTGGAGCTGGTTGCCCAGCAAGTTACTAAACATCACACACTGATAAAAAGGAATTCCATTCCCAACTGTCTTGTGGAGAATATTTGCCTCTATGGTTATCACCAGTTGCAGTTCTCCTGTTGATTACATATATGTAAAATCCTAAGGCTGTGTAGTCAATAGCTATGTTTTTCTGCTATAATATATTTTGGTTGATAAAAGTAACCTAATGCTCCTATTTGGTTGAAGGGAAGATGATATTTCACAGCAGCAGTCAAACTGGTTAGAGTATTTGCCCAACTGACAAAATATATTTGTATTCACATGACCATTCCGCATTGAAAATGAATCCACATAAGGGATGTTTCATATCTGTTACAGCTTTATTCAGTCTCCATTCGAACATAAATCATATCACTTCATTTTATGTCACATGTATATAATCCCTGTTCATCTTATGTAAGTATTCTTAATGGTCTTCCTTTGAGCTTGGTGATTTGTGGCAGGCTTTACATGGTATTCAAGACAGTAAGATGGTCTTGATTTCTCTTCATACTGGAAATGATCTATGTACCTTCAAGTTTTCCTTTTTTTCTTTATCCTATCTTCCAGCAGTTATAGTGGACAGATATTGTCACCTCTGGCAATGACACAGCAATC